GTCTCCAGTTCTCGCAGATAATTTTAGTATAGTATACCAGGTAATTGTTCATTTCCTTTAGATGATATTATTACCGGCAACCTTTATACTAAATCTTCACTAATACACTAAATTACTTTAAAAGAACGACAGAATTCCCTGTCTTTATTATTAAAATGCGGGCTACCCTATTTAACTATTTCATATATACAACAATATTCTTAAAATTTGTTATATACTACAAATAAATTGGAAAACGACATATGTAATATAAAAATAATAATAATAGTATTATAATATAGTAAAATACTACATTTTGAAGGTTTTTCTTGATTTTCCATAAAATGGTTAAAGTTAAAAAAAATTGAACAATGAATCTTTTTGTTAGAAATTATTATATAATTTAATAATGATTACATATCATATTTGTGTAAATTTAAAATTTAAGATAACAGAAGTAAAAAACTAAAAGCTGAACCATTTTTTAAAAACATCACTTCAAACAGGTTTTCTTAATTACACGGAAAATCAACAATTTCACAGTAAACGTTTAAGAATATTTCTTTTAAAAATATTTATTTTTACAAAAGTGGTTCTATACAATTTTATCATAATTTTAAAAATTAAGAGAGTACATTTAAAAAAAGGAAAATACACCCCTTATTATAAAACTTTAACCCCTTTGAGACACAAATAGGAGTTAACTTAAATTCAAACTTCACCAATATTGTTTTTTTTAATATATTAAATAAAATTGATAATCAACTGCCATTAATTTATTAAAAAATAAGTATCACCCTAACAAAGGCGGAACTAGGAATTATTCAGCTTGGGAAAAAATGTTGATATTACGCTTCATCATAGACCAAGAATCAAATATCCTTCCGTACAATTTTTTTTCCAATAATTAGCATACAATCATCTACTTATTGAGTTGTAAACACATTATTAGTAACAAAATTAAAAATAATAAAATGGAAGTCAATAATAGATTATTTACTACGAAAATTACACGCACCACAATTTTACGCCCGGAAATGAATCCCCGTCTTCCTCCCCATAGTTCAACCCCTGCACTCTAATATATATATTAATAATTCCATTTTCTGATGCAGGATATTTGTTTGAAAACAACGATATATAAAACTCAAAAACCAGTAGGTATAGTAATGGGTTTCTATCAGCAGATTATATTCGCAATAATATGTTGTTAGTTACTTTCCGGTACAATCGAATGTATGAATGTATATTATAATTGTAAATTGTCATGGTGCATTTTATATATATATATATGTAGGTAAGTATTCCAAAAACTGCATTATTGCTAAATTTTTTCCAAAAATATTCCAATTTATATCATACCTAATTTGGTAATTTTATTACAGTCATTAGTTCTGAAATCAATCAATAAACGTATCATTAGTGTAATGACTTCAAGCCGAAAACTCCTGTATCTTCAGGTGTACAATAGAGAAAGCTGTAAATTAAATAGGATTTTAAAAATTAATTGAAATCGATTTGGACGAATATCGAATTAATGGATTGTACGAATCTGATTGTGAATTTAGCTATTAATTGAATTGTAATAAACGATGCACGAAATAACCGTAGGAAAATTTAATGGAATATAGTGCAATATATTTAAACAATATTCATCAAAATAAAATATAACAATATAATATAGCATAGCATAAGCTAACTTCAAGGCTGACAATTATATTTTTAGACTTAAAGCGAAATTTGACTTGAGTAAGAAACCTTTTTATTTGATATGAATATGTTAAATATTTAAAAATAAAAATAAAATATCTATATAGTTATAGTGCAGGGATGACAAATTCATGGCATGCGTGACCGAGGTGGAACGCAAAAAGATTTTAAGGGAACGCGAAAAATATAAATATTTTTATTATATATATTTTATTTTTATTTTTAATAATAAATATCATCATAATGTTGATACTTTTTCAGTATCATTTAAATATTATTTTATCTACTGATAAAATTGAATAATCTTTATTGACAATAAATTACAATAATTTTTTTCTTACAATATATATATTATTTTTTTCATAATTGAATAGTACCCTTGAAAAAAAATGTATTTGCAATTTTTGACACGTAGCGTCAAAACAATTTGCCACTCCAGTTATAGTGCAACATAATCGTTCGATATACTAAACGTACAAGTGTATACTGGAAATTGTTATACAAAGATTATTTAAGGAATAAGACTGGACATTTGACAACTTTTTAGATATCACTACATTGATTTTCTGTATTTACTCTGCAGCTATTTTAGATGTATTAGTTTTTTAAAAAGTATGATTAATATGAATTTAATCAATTATTTCGACATTTACTGTGCTTAAAAAATGACATTTATTTAAGACAATATATTTTGGTGACCTTTAAAAATTTATTGTTTATATAATTTAATTATAATTGTTTTCTAAATAAATAGTGTAACAGATTTGAATTCACCATAAACCGTAAAGTAATCTTAAATTCATTTTCCCGTAAAGTTTATCTAAAATTCTACAAAAATTCAGTGAGTCTCATTGACATTATAAATTAATTTGATGGAAAGGAAAGATACAATTAACATACGGAGAAATTCGTTCTTGAGAAGAATTCTTCGCGAAAAGAGATGAAAATTGATTTGCGATCCTTGGTATCTAATATAACATATAAAAAAAAAAATGAGAAATAAAATTTTTCAGTGACTCGTAATCACGGTAATTAAATCTTAAATCGGCAAAAATACTTAAATCGTGTGACTATCTGGACTGATTAGAGAAAACTTATAAAACTAGTGCTATTGACTATAATCTTCATATGTACGCACAATACGTAGCACACAATGTAAAGTGTTTTATTTAAAGTCTTACGAGTGCAACATCGCACACGTTGTGGAGATATGTACACATTATATTAAATATGCTATTACGGCATAGTTCAAGTTAAGATATTCAACAACGCTGTACTTTTATTGAGAAAAAAAAATATATTTATATACGGTTAGCTAATTTTTGAGAATGATTAACCGTAACACTTTGAAAACAATGAAAATGTTTCACAAAAAATCACAAAAATGTAATTTTAATGTCAAAACATTGTATTTACGCTTTTCTCCTTGAAAATGAGTAGACCACTTTTCTTTGAAGAAATAGTATGATTGATAACTATTCATACACACAGCGACAATCTTATATACGTTTGGCGAAGTCGGTCGAAACATGAATAACAGTCATAACTCATAACGTACACTGCGGTTGACACGGGTGAGACAATACAAATAATAATAGAGCTTATTGAAAAAGCCAGGTCCACGCTACACCACGCTATGTCATGAGGTCCGATCTGTCTCCGATTTTCTGAACAACGTGGTTACATTTACAGATACACCGTGCGGTAAATGTGGTATTTATTGCACGCGTTACCGAAGTAACCGTACAGTTATTTACAGTCATTTAGTACAGTATTTCATCAAACTTTTGAACGTGTGGTTATTGGTACACGAGTGTTCGTAAGCGGTTCTTCGATAAAACGATACGTGTCCAAAACTGTACATAGGTAGTGACCAAGTTTTACGTTCGTGGTACGTACTTGTATCCTGTGTTTTAAAAACAACGGTGAAACGCACAACACGGTGTCACGCAACAACCCGGCTCGAGACACTAAAGAGGCCCATACGCGTTCAATATTATTGACAAAAACATTGACGATGACCATCAACATATCAATATTATTGATTGATTATCAAACATAATATCATTATCAAATTACCAGATCCGTTATCAAATAGAAAATCAGATATTACAGAGAACAGTTTACCAATGTTTACAATTCATTTAAATTGTAATTAGCTTTAAACAATTTAGCATTTTAATTACGAACAGTTATGTCTGATAATTTAGATAATACTATAATAGCTCTTGTTCTAACTATTTCTTTTCTCGATAAAAGGAAGAAATACGAAAGCAGAGGTTTTGGGCTAAAGAGTGGTTAATAAATAAGTATAATTGTGAAAATCTTTTATCTGAACTACGATTAAACCAACTTGAAGACTATCGAAATTTTTTAAGAATGAATTTTTAACTTAAGTTACTCCACTAATTAAAAAACAGATACAATAATGTACATTGTTAATAACAGTGCGTCAATAAAAATCAAATATTTTTGATTTTGTTCAATATATTGATTTACCATTCAATACTGCCAATACACGACCAATATTATTGACCGTGGACCGCTTAATATCGACAACTATAATAATAATAATAACTGGGGCTCGGAAGTTATAGGAATTACATATTATTCTGTATGATCTGAATTTATAGCAGACTTAGCAGAAATTTAAATTATACAATTGCGAGTTAGAAAATTGAAAATTGAAAATGCATAATTTGCATATTTGGCCAATTTTAGCTAAAAATGTGTATATTTCATTGATTTTATATGCATATTAAGCATACGTCATATTTTTCTAAAAATTTGACATTTTTCTTTCTTAACCTGTATATTTCAACTAATATTTAATATATAACTCAAAATTATCAATGAAGATATTTATTGTCATCGTCATATTCATCTTCTATCGAATAATCGTCGTAACATTTGAAATAGAAAATCTTAAGAAAGTATTGGTGGTTCGATGCAATAACTTAACAGGTATTAGAAAATGTACGTTTTTCATAATTTAAAAAAAATACTGAAAAAGTATTTTTAATTTTATTTTCAGCTTAATAAGATATCAAAATGCCAACCTTTAGTTATAAAGTTTTTATGTGTATTATTAATTTATTAACAACATCTATTGTATTTTATTTTTGGAATTCAGAATAATATTTAAGCATATTTATTAATTTTTTTGCATATTTAACATTTCTAATGCGTATTTTTGCGATTTTCCGTGCATATTTGCATGCATACTTTACCTTTTTTAGCTCCTACAACCGTCGAGCCCTAATAATAACAGTAGCGATAACAACAGAAATACGTGATAATGGGATAGTTACCAGGTCGTCACGGCGGTGGTAGCCACGTGTTTCGCAAACGGTGTACAGCTTGGACGCGCGTACCACGGACAATCCGAACTTGCCGCGGCCGGGCTCGTCGTCCGCGGCCGCCGCGAAGTTGGACGACTCGCGGCGCGACGTTGACGGCTGGCCGACGACGCAGCACGCGGTGGCCGTGGTCGCCGCGTAGTTGAAGTAAAACGTCGCGGTGGCCGTGGTGACGAAGGCCACGGCGAACAGCATCGCCGCAACGTTCTTCCACGTCTTCTTCATGTGCACGAAAGCAGCGGCGGTCGTCGTGGACGGTCGTCGGTTCCTGTTGTTGTTACATCGTCCCGTCGCCGGCGACGACGACAACGGTTGTAGCTTGCGACTGCTCACGCCGCCGCTGTCGCCGTTGCCGGTGCTGCCGGTGTTGTTGCCGCCGCTGCAGCCGCCGTCGACGATGATGAAACTGCTGCAGCTGTACCGACCGCCGGTCATGTCGTCTTCATCGGCGCCCCGGTGACGACGGTCTGGATACCGATCGTGACGAACGGCGGCGGTGTCCGGAGCTCACGTGATCGGGGTGGGCTACCGAGCGATGGCGATGGTGACGACGGCCGTTGCGGTGACGCGACCGTGACATGACTGGCGGACGCTCGACCGGTGTTCTTCACCTGAAACACACGTCAAGAACACAACGTAAACACTCGTCGGTCGTGCGGACAAACCGTTCCGCAGGTAACAGGTCAAGTAGGCGCAGGCAACGCACACAGCGTGGTGGGAGGGGGCGTCGCGGGTAGGTGCGCGCCGTCGGCCGATCATTTATGCACAGCCGTACAGCGCTGCCGGGCACGTCCGGCTGGCCCATCCAATCCAAGAGACTTCAATCGAAATCTTGACCTATCGTCCGGCGACCGTATAGCCGTCCGGAACGCGTCACGACAATCTTAAGCCACCCGAACTACACAGTTTCATCGGCAAATACGTTCTTTTCGGTAGTAAACACGTACGAGGAATCGGGCCGCGCGTCGACTCCCCGCAGCTCGATTTATTCACGCAAATCGAACAACGTGCGAAGAAATATAAAAATATATTTTCATTGTTTAATGAACGCGCACGTCATGATAAGACGATAAAAATCTTTACGACTCGATGATGTTCACAGATATTATTGAATGGAACGACTTCGAGATCAGTTCGTTCGGAATTTTATGGGAAATTTTGAAAACGGAAGAGGGTGAGTGGGCAAATTCTGCAGGAGATTATCGATTCGAAGACGTGAAGAGGAAGTTATGTATTGTATTCCTATTGCATATTGTAACTTGTGGTAATGTGCTGAATTAGGTGACGATCTTGGCTCAGATGGAATGATACTTGCATAAACGGGGAGGACAATTTGATACAGGTAGATAGTTCACAATTATCTTTATATAGCTACACTTTCTTTACATAGTATTTCTGTCTAGTGATAGAAATGGGATTGAGATGTGTTGAAATTCTAGTAGCCAGGGGGTAGTATTGTAAAAAGGAAGTAAAATTTGTCGTAGATAAATGTATGTTTTAAGAACATCGTCTACGAATATCATAATAACTAGGTCCTACGGAGTGCATATTATTATTATAATCAATCATAATAATAATATATGGCGTATACCACAATCCGATAATATTTTAAATATATGTCTCATATACACACCGATCGAGACGACGCTAAAATACGTCGTAAATATCGCAAACAGCCTTACTACGACGTTCGACAATTTAGTAACAACAGTTTTTTTTTTACTATAAAGTATTTAAACGATTTTAAGAATAAATCTTGAAAACCACAATAAAACGAGGAACGTTCGAATATTAACCACGCGTCCGGTTGGATATAATATCACATTATTGACCGTTTTTATCAAACTCAAATACTAAACAAAAGTCACATATCACACGTTGAGTCTCTATTGACTCAAAATCGTCCTTCTTTGCTACAGACCGAACATAATTCCCTTTAAAAATGTGACATCAATATCTAACAAAAACTGATCGGAATTAAACAAAGTAATAGAAATAACTTATCATAATAATAAAATGTCGTCTGTTATCACAGTTGTGTGAGTTGTGACAATTCGTTTTCAAAACATGCAACGCCACGTACCGCACAAACGTCGTTAACGATCTAGGGGAAAGGAAACATATAAGGAGGATACAGAGCGCACTCGGATTATAAAATAATAGTAATACGGTAACACGGCGTATTATCATTGTAACTAAGAAATCCGTTGTAAGGATATTAAATGTACGCGTGTAGTCAACGGCAACCGTCGGTTGTTTACGGTTCGATAAAATAGTGATTATATGTATTTAATTTTTTCTCGACTCTTACCAGTGGTATTCGGATACGCGTCATAATCGAACGAAACCCGCGGAACGCGATGAAAAAAATTTAAAAAGACGAAAATCGAAAGAAAAAACCGTCAATCCCAGCTGCTGGCCTGGTGATTTCCGCGAAAAGTACTCGTATTTATAATATTATGATAGGTTTGCCGAACCAAGACGGTCCTAGGCGACGGGAAATCGCGGAAAAAAACGTTGCAGTTCCGCAGCAACAAAAAACCATACACTTTCGCCAGCCAACCCCAAGCGCTATCCATACGTGAACAAATGGATCGAGAGAAGTGAGTGTTTGACTGTAAAAATACCTTAAATGTTGTGTACTGCGACGCATTTGACTCGTATAATAACTAAAGTGTGTACTGTGTAACTAACGTAATCGTGCAAACGCGGTTACAAGGGGAAGGGGGCTATGGAGGCTGAAAATAGATACTTAAAATATTTCAAAGATAATTAAGATAATCTTTAAAAAATTAGGAATTTGTGATAATTGTAATTATTTACACAATCCTCAATAGTCTTAACCTAAAAATATGAAAATAGAGGATTGGTCAAATCAATTTGCAAATAAACTGATTTTTTTTCAACTACTAAATATTTTGTACTTTTGCCTGTATTATTATATAACGTATGCAATAAATGGTAATTTTATTATTAAAGTTTTTTATTATTATTTTATAATATACAACATGATTATTATTTTATCTACTTTAAAAACTTAAACTTAATGCCTATGACTTTACGTAGTCGAGTACAATTATTTCGTTCAGCCCCTCACGTTTTTTTCATTTCTAGATCCACGCCTGTAAGCGTACATTACAATATTTTTCATTAGGTATCACGATAATTGTTACTTACATTAACAAATATCGTAGCATCGGTTTTTATACTTAAAATATACAGAACAATTCATATAATAACCTACGATAAATCAATTTTCGGGAGATACTGCATGTTTATATTTAATAGTAGATTACTTACGTTACAGGCTACAAACGATTAATTAAAATTGAATTTATAGTATGAAAATTTACAAATTTTAAGCCCAGATACTCGTATACCGTAGTATGCGTTTCAAATGATGCGAATGAGGACTGACATATCGTAAATATATATCCGGCCGAGATAATATGCGTTTATTTTTAAACGGAATTGTTTCTTCTAAAAAAAAAACATTCCACAGGGTTAATTATATTATATCTCGGTGATTATATTATCGTGATTATTTGATTACATTATTATATACAATATGCATTACTGCCATGATCCTCGGATGGTCATCAATCCGAGGACTATGGTTCGAAGAAATAGACTAACCAGTGACCGATCAACTTTTTTGTAACGCCATGCTATGCTCTGTTAACCATATCGTTATTACCACCGTTTCAGGTATTGTGCACCATAATTATTATATAAACATTGCAAAATGATCGTTCATTTATGCTCGCATCCGAGATCGAAAAGTGGTTAAAATAGCGTATTTAGACTCTCCATACATGACTAGCAATCGATAGAATGAAGAAATTTAATAGAAAAATATCCGTAAAAATATCCGACATTAACAAGTATTAAAAAAAACTCATTCATGCAATTGTATATTCTCCCTTATACATCTAATGTTTTACTAGTTTTACTAGACCGTATTTTTTTCCGAACCACATGAAAAAGGACCTTTTTTAGTTGAATAAAAATAAAATAAATAATCACCGCATTGACTATGTTCTTCAAACTTAGCACGCAAACGGGTTATTAATTATTCAAACTTTCCAAAACATAAAACATTCGTTCGTTTTTTTTGATAATATCGCAATACGCCGTTCGCTTCATCAACTTTTTGAAAATATAAATTCGGGTCAATTACGGTAAAAAATGTTTTTCTTTTTAAAGTATGAGCAAACAATTGGGTTACACGAACATCATGTACGACAAAAGAGTGGTCAGAGGCAGTAATTTTTCCAACAAAACATTTGTAAGTTATTCGTTATTAAATATTATAATCACTTTTACTTAATACAGCGTTTAATTAAACTTATTATATAACTGAAAAATGTAGCGTCCATTGAATTGTATATTTTACAGTCAATCAAAGAATCGCCCACAGCCCGTAAAGCAGAAGCTCATCGACGCGCGGTTGCTAGAAAAAAAGCAATAGACCAACAAACAAGAGCATTGCGACTACACTTGGGAACACCGAAAATGACTAAACCCCGCCAGTTTGTACAAACTGACACATACTTAGAAGAAGTGAGCCAGTCATTCGAGATCTTCATGAAATACTTAACTTTCATAAATTGTGATTTTTATATAATTTTTCGGTATATTTAAAAATATCCGTGTTTACATACTTTTAAACATTTAAAAAATACATTTTATAATTATGAAATCCGTTAATACATGTATACATTTATTTTTTGACATTTCAATATATGATAAAATTATAATTAGGTGATTTTGCATTAAGTGTACTGTTATATACGTTCTATAGTTGTACGAGCAACCGCAGTCCGAGACTTTTGGGGCTCAAACTGAATTCGACGAGGCAATATTTGCAAACTCGGTAAGAGAGATGCACACAGGCACGGACGCGTCTACGCAAGTATACGAAATGGAAGTAAGCCATAGGCTAAACTAAATTATGACCCGACAAACATAACATTTCGGTTTTCATGGGTCGTTTTGATATTTTATTCTGTTGTAATGTTTCACCCGATCACTACTGACCGCAATAATACAGATCTGAAATATTGATTAGATTGGCTATGTTCTCCAAACAAATAATATACGTTATAACGTACTATTAAATACGTACACGATATAAATAATAATAAATTCACAGACTATTTCTATGGTTTCTGTTACAAAATAATACTCTACGCAATATTGATTTAGTTGTTCGACTTCGATACGGAAATTACGCCAATTATCGAAACCATGATCGCCGACATCTTTCGACAAGCATTAAATGAAATACTGTACGAAGACGAGCTGGCTGCTAGATCACGACAACAAAGAATCTTATATTTCAAACACACTACTGAAGATATAGGAAAGTCAAGATTAGAGAGAGAAGACGAAAGGATAAGTAAAATAATTGTAGGTGTTGCTTATGTTATATTATATATTTTTTCCCTTTCCTGCTGATTAATTTTAATAATAATATACTTCTTATTTCACTACGTATGATTTATAAATATTGATTCAAGAAATTCACAAGTCCTTTATAATATTTATAGGAAACACTCACTTGAAAAGCACCTTTAATGTCATAAGTGGGAATTAAAAAAAAAAACATCTAATAACCCATTTCCCCCTCCCCTCATTTACGACTAACTAAGGTTAATGGGCACCAGTATAAAATTCGTATATGCTGAAACCGTGGGAAGTTCCAGCGTTTTATTTTCTACTTATTTATTTATTTGTATGTCTTTACAATGAGTGATAGTACTAAAATATTTCTTTATTAGATAACAGGTTAAATTGAACTATTGTTATTATTATAACTAATATAGATAAACATTTTAAGGCATAGACATAGCAACACAACAAATATCAGACGAAATATCACATTAAATTAAGTTAAATTCGGTTAGTTTAGAAATCTATATACCAAGAATTTAATTAAACCACTGCCTTAGAGGTTACTCTGATGAAGTCTTCTAAATTACTAACGTATGTTCTTGATTGGCAATCCAGAATTAAATGTTACATTTATTGTATACTTGCCTCTTATTTATTTTTATCGTTCTTTTAAAAATGTGCATTATGCCTGAAATCTATAGCACTTTATGTTTTACTTCATATATACTACTAGCACTGGCCATAAGAAAATTGCTGCACAAAACGAATGTATAAGTGCTATTGCCAGTCAACTGAACAAAACTAAACCTTAAACACTATACACGTTTATCAGCTAAAATTTCGACATATATACCCACACCATGCACAAAAAGGGAAATATTTATACTTTTCTTTTAATCATACAATTTTACTTTAATTATTTCTCTGTTGAACAAAAGTGCATTTTATTTGATTTTATTTTTTTTTTTTTGGTTAACAATTATCGAACTATTGAGTGCAAGAGAAATTATATTGTAAACGGTAACTTCAAATTTAAATTATTTATTTGATATATTTTAGTAAATGTTTTAAGTATTTTAAGCTCATAACTCGTTCCAAAGACAATAAATGATGAAACAGAAAACATTTAAGACAAATGTTAGACAACTTTTGGAATATATAAAAAAATATATAAAAAACGGCACTCAAGTTATTAATATAAGAAAACTATAAATAGACGATCAATCTGAAAATAAATGTATTTAGATATATTTTTTAAATATATTATATTGAACATGATTAAGATTTTAATTTTTATATACTCAATTATACCCACTAAATCAACTGTACTTTAATTTATTTCGACTTCTTATAACCATTCATAGTAAAAATAAATCATGTACTTGAAATAATTTTAATTATGTATAATATGAAATAAAATTCAATATATAATTATATATTTATTTACTATTAATAGTAAATTATTAATTAACAGTCAATTAATATTTTTTGTAGGCTTATCACACTCCATTGTTAGATGGAGGAAAAAAATATGAAAAAATTCAAATTTTCAATATGTCATCAAGAAATGGGATTGATTTTTTACCAAGAGTATCTCAATATCCAAAACAAAATGGATCTACCGGTAATATAGCTCAACTAGAAAGTAAGTGTATTCATTTTTTATTTAACTAGATACTATACTTTCATTAATCTTTATACGTCCAACAACAGATTTAGAATTCGTTTCCTGGCTGATGAAAAAACTTCAATGTAAAAAAATAAAAACATTAAGGTCAAAGACATTATGAAATATAAAAGTAATTTTCATATGTTATTTCATGATTTACGCCGTAAGTAGTCTATATAATTCTATAAATAGTAAATATTTTCTGTAAGCAATCCAGTGTTTAATTAATTTTGTGTTTGAAAAACATTACAACAACAATACATTTAATGATAAATTTTTTTAATAATTATGCATAATGTGTGAAAAATATGGAATTTTGACAAATCTCATCGGTTATACCTCACAAACCTGGCTCAAGGGGTAGGTGATTTAAGCCCACGCCTAGGGTGGCATTTAACATTTTTATATTATAAATAATTTAAAAAAAAGATTACAATTAAGAGTACATACTCATATCAAATTTTGTGTAGTAAAAAATTAGACTCTATAAGCTTTTTTATTTTATTTAAATTAGTAGTGATTTACTTGTCTTAAAATGTATTAATCTAATAAATTGTTGACTTTACATAACTAAATATAATGAACTCAGAATTGAATCTATTATAGTATTGTTAATGTAAAAAAAATATTTGAAGTAGTAAATATGTATATTTGTATAATATGTATATTTTTACATGTAAAGCCTATGTGTGATTAATTATTTAAACTGGACCTGCTACCATATAATTCATTAATCGTCTTTCCACTGTTATAAAATATTAATTAGGTACCTTATTAATTAGGTAATTTATTCATATTAATATTATATTTTGTAGAAACACAAACCAAAAGCCACGATCACAATTCTTGAAGCGAAATCTCATCAACGCACAAGTAAAATTTCAAAATTTTTATATTGGTAATATGACCAGTCTTCTAATTGCATTCTTTTTTTTTTCTAGTAAAATTAGTTGACAACTACATTAAAATCTACAAGTCTATCTTTATGAACATTGAACATTAAATCGTTTAGTCTTGACTCAGTTCTGTAGAGCTCATATAATTGTTTAACCTTAAGATCGAAAATGACCTTTCAGTGGTCGCAGTAAAAACTAGAAGCACACAAATATTTATAAGAGGATTTTTATGCTTGAAAAAATTGTTTATTTAATACTTAATTAATTATTCAACTATATACTATACAGTATACATGTTGATGTCTGATATCTAAGTAATTTATAATACTACAAAAAAAGTTCAATACTTTAAACGGTGGGTGCTTTGGCCCCTAAACACACCCTCTAAATACGCCACTGGCTTTGAAGTTGATGTTACATTCTTTCACGTGCTACCCTTATGATCTGAATACACTTTGAGAGATAAATTATGCATAATAAAAACTAGACTGATCAAAGGCAATCATTTTACAAAAAAAAAAAAAAATCGCAACTAATGTTTTTAAATACATTTTCATTTCACATGATATTTTAACGTTTTATACGTTCAGAGTAAAACCTGATTTAGCATTTAATACAAAATTATTTGTTGTGAAAACTAAGAAAATACAATTTGCATTTTTTCAATATAATTACTCATTGGTTATAATAATAATAATAATAATAATAATAATTATATTTATATAATATTAAAAAAATATCACTTTTTTCGTTGTTTGGGCGAAGAAATGTACATCAATCACTAAATCAGCTTTCACACAGTACAAATATAAAGCTTAAATATTATAAAATTTAAAATGTACTTATTATTATTTTTTTGCCACTGATCGTGTCCTGCAGAATGTACGTCTTCATCGTGCACTTTGACTAATAGCATAATGCGACGTGAAAGTTAACCTACAAAGGCCGTATATTTTGGGTTTAAACATTTAAAATCTATTTTTATGATTCTAACGAAATATTTTTATGAACTAATTAAATAAAGCCATTATTCCAGTTAATGTGTCGAGTCTGCTTTATTTTATGTGCGTATAATATACACTATAAATAATGTATAAATATGATAATGTAATTTAATGTATAAATATGAAAGCAATAAAGATAAAGACAAAATGTAATATGATGTATATAATTATAATTATCCTCATTTCTTACATAGCTAAAATATATTGTCAAAGAATAAAAATATAAAACTAATCTTAATGAATTTTTAGACACTACCATAATAAATTTATTACATAAACGACAAAAAAATACTCAGCATATGATAATGAAAAATAATACAAATATTAACTAAAACATTATAAATCACTTGGTGTAAAAAATTTTTAAAATTTTAAAACTGAGGATATTCAACAACGTTTTAGAAGTATGTACAAAGAATCAAGTGTTTAAAGAGAAATAGGAGTGGAATGTTTATTAAACAATGATGAATTATATTGAGTCACTTTTTTTAAAACATATAACTCTAAGTTACAAAATATATATATAATATTAATGATGGAATGTATTACGCGTTCTAAGTATAATCTAAAATAATTGAAATTATAATAAATGTTTAGTATACTATAGACCAGGGTGGTCCAACCTGTGGCACGTCTTTTTTTTTTTGGCCCTCCTCCATATAAGACTTAAATTAAAAAAAAAAGTCACTATAATGTTATAACAAAATTGTCATATAATTATATACATTTATGTTTTCTACCATAAAACGTAGGTATACGTGCAATGAGTGACGTCTGAAACCACGATCGGATTCAGCTCACTACGTACGTATGTAGGTATCGTATTTTTATAGCGGCCCCAGCAAATCTGATTCTTTGTGGTGGGAGATCGTGGAATTCATTATTATTATTATAGTCATTATTAGGCGGCGATTATTGACTGCAGATTTTGTTTTTTTTGTTTTTTTATCTGTTTTATTACACAATCTGTAAATATATTATTTTTACAATAAGTGTAAGTGTTGTAGTAGATTTATATAAGAAGACTGAAGACTTGAGCGAAGAACCCATCCAGTGATGGGACTTCTTTGGAGTTGCGGATGGGTTTTATTCAGTCAGGAGGTCCCGACACCATTTTCGTTTCAAACGTCGTCCAGGGTTACCTGGAATGCTGAGGGTGGATAAGTTTGAGATTAGAGGATTACGACTGCAGATTTTACTGGAAAATAATATAGTTTATTTTTTTTTTTTTTACGGCCTTTAGTGTTTTTATGAAAGCGTAAATTGGACCGTCAACTACAAAAGGTTGGACCACCTTGCTATAGACAATGCACTAAACATTAAAATCAAAAAATCTTAACTATTTACTATTTTTAATAACTATATATAGGGGGTTTCGAAAAGGACGCAGGATTTAAATCTGCTATAAATTAAATGTATTTCTTTTAATAAACATAACAAATATATCATTCTCTTCGGGAGAAGTTAAGGTTTAAGAGTGAAAAACAATATCAGGAATATGACTCTTCCTACTAGTCCTACAGGTGATTATTATAATTATTCTTTTCATAAAATTTACCATCACTGGATATCACATTCCCCTATCAAGTTCATTGAGGACACAACGAATTTATTGCTTAAGTTCCAAGACATTTCGAACTTTGTTCTGGTAAACTCGTGACTTAGTGTATCCATAAAAGAAAAAATTACACGATGTCAAGTCGCAAGATTGAGGTGGGTAGCTTTGGCCACGCAACGAAATTTGTTTATCCTGGAACTTCTCACTCAGTAAAGGGATTGTTTCTCTTGAAGTGTAACAAGTTGAAACCAAACATTTTTTATGTTTATTTGGTTCAAATAAAGCCAAAGAAAATTACTGAGCTCAGTAGGTATTTTTGTATGGTTACAACAAGACTGCGCAACTTGTTACACTTCATATAGTCATTTTCACATCCATCAGTTTTTAATTATTATAGTATAAATTGTTTTATCAACCTTAGGATGATTAAAATTGATTTTTATGTCTATGTAATCATTGTTTTCTATATATATATATATATATATATATATGTATATGCTCAATTTACATTAGTAATTATCGAACATTTTCAAAAATATAATTTACTACTAATCTACTTATAAGTATAAGTCATAAAAATAGCAAAATAAATGTAATTCAAACGAAAAGGAATTTATGTATACATAGTATACACATAAAATATTTGCTTTTACAATTATATTATTTACAATAATTTACTAGAAATATTTTTTATTCAATATTTGAGTACATGATATTTCACTTTGACCGGATACACATGAACAAATGGACTTTTCGGTGATACAAATGAGTATAGTATACCTATATAGGTATAATACAGTGATTATTATTTCAGATACTGATTAGTATAATGGGTGAATTGTTTTCGTCAATGGGTCTCACAAATAGCGAGGACGGATAATTTGCACGCAGATTACATAATACAAATTGGCGTGGGAAAAAATGTATATGCAATGCTTTCAAAGACCTTGTATGTACGAGTATGTGTTAGCTGCACACTAATTTTCCAGGATTTTATGATATCTTACCACCGCGTCACATTACGGCCTACACGATTATGTGAACAAGTGATGTATCAAAGGATTGTGACGGGGATGAAGTTCTTTGTATAAAAACGCTATACCGGCTTAACCGTACAAATTTAGGATAAATGTATACTGAAGATCCATTATGTATTCGTCAACATGAAAACAGTAGGAATTAAGTCCAAATTACAACCAAAAAAACGATTCCGAGAGGAGATTTACCCTCCATTCATAATAAATATCAGCTGTTTTAATTTAATAGAATTAAATTAAAGTACTCTTGTCAACTAAAATAAATTAATTTTTCAAATATATTGTTTGTCTTAAAGAAACAAGATTTCCTATAAAATGTATAATAGATAGAAAAGTACTAGTATTCGGGGGGACTCAGTAGTGCTAAATAATCTAGATATGGTATCAAAGATAATTGGAATAAAAGGATAAAGGGATTATAATACAGTGAAACCTCTCTTAACGGACATCTCTAAATAGTGGACACCTCCGAATAGTGGACGTTTTTATGGGAACGGGGACATTTTCACTATATTCATATAGGAAAACTCTAAATAACGGACACTTTTATGGCATTTTGATTTTGACAATTTTTATCGTAAATATAGAATAATCGTTGAATGCCAACTTAATCTAATCTTACTACTATGTATTATAAATTATTATACAATTATAGTTTATCTTATATGTCCATTGATCCATCGCGTCAATGAAACATTTTTCTGGATTATGTTCTGTGAAGTTATATGGCTATATAAATTGCCATTACTTTACTTGCAACATCATGTTCAGTAGAAAAATCTTTCAGGTAACATTTTCTATATTATATTTTTCATTTTTTATTCGGTATATTATTCTTATAAAATTGTCATTATATTTTTAGTACATTACGTCGTTTGGCTGAGAAACAGAATGGGAAATGAAAGGTTAAGTAGTTTAGGTCTGATTAATATTCATCGACAAAGATACAAAACTAAGGAATTTTTTTAACAGCAATTAGAATGTATTATTGAAAAGTTTAGATTGAGTTCTAGGCAGTTAGCATTGATTTTCAATAATTAATATATATATTATACAATATATTAATGTAAACAATAATATACATTTTTATTAGAAGAAATAAATAAAATGAGTTATGTTTTAAATATATTTTGTTATACCCATCATTGATGATAAATAATATGTCATTTTATTAGTGTTAGGGGGTGTGAGGGGCAAAGCCTCCTCCCCTCACAGCTTATATTGACACTAAAAATATTTTGCACCTAGTGAGCTACATCTCTGCGGGCGTGCCTGCGAGGGGCAGCTCCTCGAGGAGGGCTCCCACTGAATAGTGGACACCTCTAAATAACGAACAAAATTATGGCGACCAAGAGTGTTCAGTATTTAGAGGTTTCACTGTACTTATAAAGATTCTATTTTCAAAATCAATCGAACGTTACGTTCAGAACAAAGAACACCTAATTCCTAGTTGGTACGTGCGATAGACAAAAATCATGAATCACATTCAAATAAAACGTATAAGTCGTTTAGTATACAACACATAATTACTCTTTACTATATCGTATAAAAATTAAATTGCTAATAAACAAAAAACCTTTATAATTTAAAGTTTAAAGTTGATTAACTAGGACAGTGGTTCCCAAACTGTAAGGCACGGCTCCCTAAGAAAAAGTAAGGAAAATATTTATATTGTATTTATATTGTATATTGCACTAACTTTATTATTCTATTGACAATAACTGAAATAATAAAAAATGTTTTATTAGGAGGCACGACTAATTTTAGTTTAGGTATGCATTCCCCAAAAAAATGTGGAAACTTTTGCACTAGGCAATTTTAACGTCTAAAGCAAAATTAATTTAAGATCTAGGCCGGCAATCTCTTCGTAGAAAAGAACCATATTTTTAAAATTTACAAAACTATGATGTCTA